TAAAATTTGAAATTTGGCCTTGGCTGTGATCGTCTACAAAAGTGGGACCCTACATTGTGTTTTGAAAACTGGCGGGAGGCGTTCGTTCATACAAATTGGCGCACTGCGGAGCGGGAAGAGTGACGGATTTAAAAAACTTATATTTAGAAAAAAAAAACTATGAAAAATAAATCCAATAAGAGCTCAAGAGACCTTGGCCAAGGGCCCCAGAAGAGCTTAAAGAATTTATTCCTCAAAGAAAAAAAAACCTTTATTTTCACTCGAACCTGAGAACATAGAATAAAGATTAACAACCTTACAAGTACAACAAGAAACAAAATAAAAAGTCGCGGAATTCTCAGAAAGTAAATGGATGGCAACGTTCCAGATATTATGGCAGCGTGGCCTCTACAAACAAAATGGGGGCGCACAGCGGGGGCAGGGCGACGGCCACACTCCCCGTGAAGGTCCACATAGTCCTACCTCACCACTTCACGCGCGTGGTCTTACGCACCCACCTGACATAGGTTGACCTTCCTGTATCCCGCAAACAAGGTAGCTGTGTAAACTCCGAGTCCGCTAGGGCCGGAAGTCTAGCAAGACCCGCAAACACTCGCACGGAGACGCCGACGCCACCGCGTCCACACCACACGACCCCCGAGTTAACTAGCGTTATCAAAATGAGTATTTGGATTTCAGACAAGCAATAAGCAAAATTTAATTGGCCACACTCCATCAACACTTGTTTTAAATAACAAAGAAATTTAAATGAGATTAAATTATGCACGTGTGATCAACAATCTTATACAACAAGGAAAATGAAATGAGAAATTATTCATGTTTTGTCAATAACTTTAAAGAACAAGAATTTTGAAAGAGATTAAATTATTCACATTTTGGCAATGATTTTATTGAAATTAAGCTACATTTACGTCGCTGATTCTTACCAAAGAAAATAAAGAAGCTATGGATTTTATTGAAATATTTATCTGACATTAAGCAAAGAAGTTACGACTGCATTAAAATGGTCTGGGCAAAGTTACGTTGTTGACCGAATTAAACACGTCATTGACCGAATTAAACAAAACAACCCCCCCCCCCCCAAACACATCCCCAAACAAAAGACACATAAATAAAAACACATACGAGATAAACAAAACACATAAAAAAAATACCGCACATAAAATATGCAAAATAAATAAAATATAGGTAATCGTCGGTGCACATTCGCTTTGAATTGTGCCTTTCTTTCAATAACATTCATTTTCAAATTCATCAACAGTTTTCGGTCAACAACAAATCCCCAATGACTAATACAAAAATTCACAAAGGTTGCCCTTGAAATTCCCCAGTCAACACCCCGTACCTGCACCCTACCACTTTCTCTTTCTATTTTGAACGGCTGAATATTTGAAAACTACATGAAATTTTCAGGCATTAGAGTTTACAACAAACGAATAATAAATCGAGGAAAAACCATTCAAATATCTTAGATCTTATAATGTCAGTCAAATTGATGTGCCTAATTAATTGATGTTACTAACACAAAGAAAATCCCCCGTCCCCCAGACTATGATATTATTAATTTTCTGATGCCGTTCTCAACGTTATTTTTGTTAAAGATTCACTTGTTCAGATTACGTTTGAATTTACTTTACTCACACGTGCTCAAATTATGCAACGCAAAACAATAACTCGAAAATTGCCATCCAACTTTCCGCATAACATTCGCTAAATAAAACTGCCCTAGCTAACGTAATTCCCTGAAAAGCCCTACTAAAACGGCTTGAAATTATGTTGGAAAGATTAGTACGAAAATTAACGGCCATGGCGTCATCCGGAAGTGCCGCCATTTTTGTCGCGTCACATACGTGTGTGGTTCCCGCGTCTCACATACTCCGTAACCATCGAGAAGCAACGCCGCTTCTTCCACCAGCACACACGGAATCACGTGGAAACATACCTCTTGGATCTTCAAACCAAATACGTGCTCACCACCGAAATAACCTCTCTGTGTTCGAAATCGAGCAGAGAAATCTTACGTTCGCTGGTTCGTCAGGGGGGTGGAACTCCGTTAGAAGAAATCAGCACTAGAACAGGAAACAAACAGCGCACAGACATTTGAAAAAAACACAGAGAGCACCAACCTGACGTCTTACTCGAAAGAAAGACCAAGTCGAACTCCCCGCGACTCACCCTGCTCAAACACACCCTTCTGCGCATCTCCCTCTTAGTGGTTTTCGTTTCTTTCCATTCCTACACCTTTTCTTACCAAAAGTTCGGCGCGCGGAAATTTGGTTCGAAACGGCTTACTACAACAACGTAGGTTCCTTTTTGTTAGACGATCACAGCCAAGGCCAAATTTCGAATTTTTGAATTTTTCGCGGGCCTTTCAAACTTTTTCGAGGTCAATTAAAGGCGGAAAGTTTGGGTTATCACAAGATATTATATTTCCAGTTATATTTTAGTTCCTTTTTTTACTGTTTGCGAAGAGACTCGTCATTGAAGAGTTTAAGACAATGTGGTAATTTTATTTACACAAAATTTTCACACAATTTATCGAAGTCGCTGTAGTGTTAGTTACTGGGGTCTTAAATTTTACAATAAATTGCCACTATTAATCAGAATTTGGAATTAAATTCTATTATTATTTACAGAAAAAATCGTCTTTGTACATTCTTTTTTTCTTAGTTGCATTTACTCTAGAAGAACTCATTTATTTCCTCGGGTTTAAAAAGTGAATTAACTATATACATACTGAACAGAAATAAAATTAGTCCTTAGAATTAGAATAGCGTGGGTGGGTGGGCGCGGTTAGTACTTGCTAAGATAAGACTTACTTTGGCAAATGACACCCTTTAAGATAATAAAGGGCGGGTGGGCGGGGCTAATACTTGCGAGGATAAGACTAAACAATATTAAGAGTAGTTACTAGAATGAAGAGGAGGGGAATCGTCGGGACTACTCCTTCCTTATAAAGGACTCTGCAAGAATAGTTAAACTTAGCCCCTCCCACCCACCCGTTTTCTCATTTTTTTCTTACAAAATATAAAACAGATCTTAAGGTAAATAGTATAACAAAAAAAAATACTGTTAGGCTCTTTTTTCTTTTTTAACAGCCGCATTTCCATTCTGAAGGAAAAAATATAATTAACCCCGCCCACCCACCCCGCCTTCATTTCAGTGATCCATTTTATCTGCTCTGAATGAAAGTGGGTCCCATACTGAAAATAAATAAAATTAGTCGTTAAAATGACAATAGCGTGAGTGGGTGGGCGGGGTTAGTAATTGCTAATATAAGACTGACTTTGGCAAATGACATACCCTCTAAGAAAATAGAGGGTGAGTGGGCGGGTCTAGCACCTGCTAAGATAAGATTGATTTTGGCTAATGACACCCTTTAAGAAAATAAAGGGCGGGTGGGAGGGGCTAGTACTTGCTACGATAAGACTAAACAGTATCAAGAGTAGTTACTAGAATGAAGAAGAGGCGAATCGTCGGGACTATTCCTTCGTTATAAAGGACTCTGCAAGAAAAATTAGAGTTAGCCCCGCCCACCCACCCGTTTTCTAATTTTCTTCTTACAAAATAAGAAATGAATCTTAAGGTGAATAGTATAACAAAAAAAATTACTCTTAGGCCTTTTCTTTAGCAGCCGCACTCCCATTCTGCAGAAGAATATATAATTAACCCCATTCACCCACCCCGTCTCCATTTCAGAGATTCATTTTATCTGCTTTGAATGAAAGTGGATCCCATACTGAACAAAAATAAAATTAGTTCTTAGAATGAGAATAGCATGGGTGGGTGGGCGGGGTTATTAATTGCTAAAAGAAGCCTCACTTTGGTAAATGACATACTCTCTAAGAAAATAGAGCGTGGCGGGTCGGGTCAAGCACCAGATAAGATAAGACTGGTTTTGGCAAATGCCACCCTTTACGACATAGAGGGCGGGTGGGCGAGACTAGTACTTGCGAAGACAAGACTAAACAATATTAAGAGTAGTTACTAGAATCAAGGGGAGGCCAATGAGCGAGGCTATTCCTTCCTTACAAAGGACTCTGCAAGAAAAAATTAAACTTATTACGTATATTTTATCAGTGTTGTTATTTCTTGCTGACGAATGACTTCAGGCAGATTAGATTTTGCTTTTTGTCAGAGGCCGTGGTTTGAGTAGTATAAATTAACAATCGCTCTGTTGACGCAACCAACAATACAGTAAGTAATAGTTGGTTTGCAATCGATTGCGTTTTTTATGGATCATTCTTAATGCCCTAGGGTATTATTTATTGTTTAGTCAATAACGTACCTCAGATCCAAGCCATTATAGAAAAATAATAAACCCGTAAGGTATAAACACAAAAAAGTAAAATGAACATCATTCAGTTATTTCATTTATACCAAATTCGACTTGGAAAGTTCCGTGTAAACAATTTTAGACCATGTTTTTTTAAATACATAACGACTACAAAAGAAAGTGACTCATAAAAATGTGATAATCAAATTTCACTTGAATATACTCGTACACTATATTTTTATTGTTTCTCACTTTTTTTTTTAGAAAAGTTAGTTACAACCTTCAGTCGGCATTATAATGTTGGTGTTACTTCCAGTTTAAAAAGTATAAAGTATTGTTATTGATTTTACTAACAGAATTACAAACTGTTATCATATTTTAGTGTAAGACTAATGTGTACAAATGACGTAGTAAGTGTGGATTTCTAGATGTGTAAATTATTTGTTTACAAACAACCTCCAAATTCATTTTGATTAGAGCTGGAAAATTTAGCAATATAAATGTATTATTCAGTATAAATCTTTTTTAAGTAAGTTGATTGTGCTAATTAACAAGACGTAATTACTATATTTCATTACCTCACAATAGTTTTTGAATTTCAAAATTATTTGATTAAAATTTGAAACAAGCGATTGTGTACAATACGTTACTCACATTTCAATATTATTACTCTATTTTTTCTTTTATACTGCAGTAGAGATTACTTATACATGAAAAAAATACAAATTTTTAACTTTATATTTGATTAACATTATAAAACATATTCAAAACTTTACATAGAAAACAAAAACTTGAAATCGAATAAATTACAACATAACAATTATCCCAGTTAATCAATGTACAAAGTTACAAAAATAATCTTCCATAATTTTTTTTACAATTAAGTTACAGTACAACTAGAACTAGATATCACATTAAGTACAGGTGACAATGGCGCGGCTACATTGAGCACCATTAAAGTCTGGTTCTTACGACCGAAGACAGACAGCACTATCGCATCACAAAAAACAGTGCGATCTTCAACCACTTCCAACAACCAGACTTTACAACAGCTGTCAAAAAATTCACATACAACTAATAATACTAGTGTGAATCAACTAAACACAATCAAGCTTCTGCATAAAAAAACTATATTCAAGTGGCCCTAAAGTCATACACAAAAATAAATACAAAATAAATAATCGTCGTGTATAAACTCGTCCGCAAGTGATCATCACGCGCACACGTACAATAAATGCAATATTTTGGTGGGAATTTCCTGTAAAATCACAAAAAATTGGTCGGTGCTTAAATAACTTGAGCTGTCTTCATCATGGAGTTGTCGTAGTTTAGCGCTAGACTGCCAACCAGGGCAACCAGCGTGCGGTCTAACCAAGTCACGGGGTTTGGATAGATTAGACCGCCTTCGTAAAAGCCTAAATGGCCGCCGTGTGCCAGCTCCAAATACAGCATGTTTTTTCGTTCCACTGAAAGTTAAAAGGTAATTGGTTAGTGTTCACTTGGCCAGTGATCTAATACTAACGCGTAGTGGCGTTTAAGCGTGCTACTTACTCGTTATTGATTTAATAGGTTCTAATAACGGCTCGGGAACTATAGGATCATCCTTGGCATTAATGAAAATCATTGGTTTGTTGATATTCTGAATGTAATTAATGCTAGAACTCCATGAATATAATTCGGTTAGTGAATTGAACTCATGAACTTTTCTTGTATAGGCCTCATCTAACTCTGGAAGAGTGGCAGCTGAAACTATTTCGTGTTCGTTGAGTTTGAATCGATTTTTCACTTCTTCAGACAGAAGAACGTTGCGATGTTTCAGAATGATATTTTTCATGTTTTCTGTCATTATGTACAGGTAGAACCTTCGGAAATTTTGCCAGTTCAACAGCCATTTTGTGCCCCTGGAATTAACATTAATAGAATTAGGTCGGGTGGTATTGACGGTATTTATGAGTATCGTTTATGTTAGCTGAAGCACCAGTTGTTACTTTTATGGACGTGTATTATAAACTTATTTTCATGGGATACTATTATTACGTGCTTGTGATAACTATACTTAACGTAATTGTGTTTGTACATAATTAAATGCGGTGTTTTTCACGAATACTTTTATTACGGGCTGTTAGGAAAAGTGTAATATGTTGAACAGTAAAAATAACCGTTGTTTAAATTAAAAAGATAATCCTCCAAATTATCCCATTACAAAAAATAGTTAAAATATCGTTTATGTTATGGTAACGGGATTTAAGCGACGTTTCGGACGATTGCCTACGTCCTTCTTCAGGGCTTGTCTTCAATTAATCACAATGCGAAATTAAAAAATAACAATGTCGTATCCGGAATTTGTCCTTACATTAATGATATTAATGTCATTACCAAAAATGTAAATATGGATGTTACACAAAATTACGATTTGCTAAAATATTCAGCCGCTCCGCAAAATTGATGATGCGAGGTGTGTTATTACCGTGCGTCGTTAACATTCTTTATTACTTCCCGAGCGTAAACTAGGGGAATATTAAAATGAGGTCATTTTGTTGAATGTCCAATGTCACGATTCTTGACGTTTTACAGCTTGTAAAATGCGAAAATATGGGTCTCCCGTTTCCGTTTATCTCTCTATTGAAGATTTGATTAACAGAAACTACTGGAGTGATTATTGTGAACTTTTAAGTATATTTTAAATTACATCGTCTACATGGTAAAGGCTAATCACCAAAAATTTTAAGAAGTCATTTCAAAATTTTGCTAATAAATCTCACTTTCTGTTAATGAGACATAATATATAATTTCACTTTAAATTTATATTGTGACATACTCCTTTACTTGTGGTTTAATGTGTCCACATTTTAAAGTCAAAAGTGTGACTCACCTAATTGTTAGTGTGACATCATTACTAAATTTTATTAATAAACTTTCACTTTAAACATATAGTATAACATACTGTTCTGACCTTTTAAACATTTTTTACTTCCCGAACGTAAGCGTTTTCTCGACCTTTCATGACCCCTACAGTACACAGGAATAGGTCTCCCGTTTCCGTCCGTCTATCTGCCGTCCCGGATTTTTATTAAACAGATAATCTCCGAAAAGTACTGAGTCGATTGTTGTCAAATTTTGTATTTATATTAAGAATATCATATAGATGGTAAAACGCTCACCAAAATTTGTCTACTCATGTGATGATGTCACTTCAAAATCGTACATAGTAAATGGGTTTTAAATTCTATAAAATAACGTAGTCCTACAAATGTAGGTTCTAAATCCATCTTGAGCTTTTACCCGAAACGCCGAAACCTTCAGATTTTTGGAAATAAAATCAAAAATATAAAACATTTTCAATTTAATTTTGAATATGCAAAACCGAATGCTTTGAAAGCATAATAAATCTTTGATCAAAATATATTTACTTATCCCCTCCAAAAAATTGATGCCGTCAGCTCAAAATTTTGCCGAATAAATAGTATCTAAAATGTCCAAAACATGATGAGTTTATACTTGTGATTTATTACTGCATTAATATTTTTTAGATTTGCTTATACGGAGTATCTCAAAAAAATTAATGACTGAGTCAGTATATTATACAGGGTGTTATTGAAAGGTATGTACAACAAAATTGACAGTTATTCGCGAAGTCTAAGAAGTCTGAAAAACTTATTTTGTGTTATCAGAATTATAAGGGGTAAATTAACCCTTATCCAACCTTTTTAGACGCTACTGAAGGATAAATAGGTAAAATTAAATTATTTTAGTAAATCCTAGCAACTATAACAATAAAACTTTTGTCAAGAATAAATGTTGCTATAGAAACGAAAGATGATTTTTTATCAGAGGCGAATTTGGATATAAATTTTAATAATTTTTATCTCTAAAAGGAGAACACCTTTACCTGAACTTTTTTTACGTTTAGCACCCATACTTCGAGACCAATTACTGATTTTATTCTGTACGTACTTTTCAATAACACGCTGTATTGATTAAATCAAGAATTGCAAAACTGAATACTTTAAAATCTTACAGACATTTTGAAGTTACTGTAAGCATAGTAACATGTAATCAAAATGTTTATCACCCCCAAAAAATTGATGACGTCATTTCAAAATTTTGCCGAATAAATACCATGTAAAATGTGCAAAATATGATGAGTTTTTACTTGTCATGTATCATTGCATTCATATTTTTTTGATTTCCCCCCTATTTTCTCAGAGGATATGTCATTTGCAAAAATTAGTCTTATCTTAGCAAGGACTAGCCCCGCCCACCCGCCCTCTATTTTCTTATAAGTTATGCCATTTGCCAAAATCAGTTTTATCTTAGCAAGTATTTACTAGTCCCGCCCACCCACCCCCTATTTTGACATACCTTTTACGAAAATAGAGGGGGTGAACGGGACTAGTACTTGTTAAGTTAAGATTTATTTTGGCAATGAGATATCCTCTGAGAAAATAGGGGGCAGGCGGGGGGGCTTGGCCTTGTTAAGATAAGTAAATAAATTTCAGTCATCTATGGATGTCTTCATATGTAGCTTGGGAAGTATAAAAAAATGTAACTTTTGATATTTTGATATTTGTTTTGATAATTAAGTTTAGTTTAGAATTAATAATATATTAATTTATTTAGTTTTATTATTATAGAATAGTGTTCAGATTTTGTATTTTTGTATGCAGTTGTGGGGTTCGGCCCGTTGAGTACAATAAATCTTTTATTTATTTATTTATAAGAGTTATTTTGGCAAATAACATACCCTCTGAGAAAATAGGGGGCGGGTGGGCGGGGCTAGTACTTGCTAAGATGTATAAATACGTCCGAATAAATCCTATCTAAAATGTGCAAAATATGATCATTCTATATTGTAATTTATCAATGCGTAAATATTTTTTAGATTTGCTTATACACAGTGACAAAAAAATTAATGAATCAATCAGTTTATTTTATTGAATAAATCAAGAATTGCAAAAATGAATACTTTGAAATCTTGCAGATGTTTTAAAGTTATTGTAGGCATGTAACCAAATAAATCTGTTTACTCCCCCCAAGAAATTGATGACGTCATCTCAATATTTTTTTAAATTTCTACCCAAAATGTGCAAATAATGATGACTTTTTAATTGTGATTTATCATTGCATTCATATTTTTTAGATTTCCCCCCTATTTTCTCAGAGGATATGTCATTTGCCAAAATTAGTCCCGCCCTCTATTTTCTTAGAAAGTATGGCATTTGCCAAAAGTAGTATTATCTTAGCAAGTACTAGCCCCGCCCACCCAGCCGTTGTTTTCTCAGAGAATTACGTCATTTGCCAAAATCAGTTTTATCTTAGCAAATACTAACATTTTGGCAAATAACATACTTTTTAAGAAAATAGAGGGTGGGTGGGCGGGCCTAGGACTTGCTAAGATGAGAGTTATTTTGGCAAATAACATACCCTCGGAGAAAATAGGGGGCGGGTGGGCGGGGCTAGTATTTGCTAAGATAATACTGATTTTGCCTCTACCAATCTTCTAAAAACTTGTTAAATTGCAAATTTCCTTAGTAACGAGTTAAATTCCTAAATCTGATTGGGTGTTTATTATTTATGTTTCATTCTACTTCAGGAGCGAGGGAAGTTCTGATGAAACAACCTTCGACCAATTTTTTAGATTTGCATATACGGGGTGTCTCAAAAAAATTAATGACCGAGTCAATATATTATAATGATTAAATCAAGAATTGCAAAACTGAATACTTTGAAATCTTGCAGACGTTATTGTAACCATAGTAACATTTAATCAAAATGTTTATCAACGCCAAAAAATTTTTGACGTCATCTAAAAATTTTGCCAAATAATTCCTATCTAAAATGTGCAAAATATGATCAGTTTGTAAATTATCAATGCTTTCATATTTTTTAGATTTGCTAATTCAGGGTGACTCAAAAAAAATGTATCAATCAATTTATTTTATTGAATAAACCAAGAATTGCAGAGATGAATACTTTGAAATCTAGCAGACGTTTTAAAGTTATTGTAAGCATGTAACCAAATATATCTGATTATTCCCCCTAAGTAATTGATGACGTCTTCTCAAAATTTTGTGCAATAAATTCTACCTAAAATGTGCAAAATATGATCATTGCATTCATATTTTTTAGATTTGCCCGCTATTTTCTCAGAGGATATGTCATTTGCCAAAATTAGTCTTATCTTAGCAAAGACTAGCCCACCCACCCGCCCTCTATTTTCTTGGAAAGTATAGCATTTACCAAAATCAGTTTTATCTTAGCAAGTACCAGCCCCGCCCACCCACCCCCTATTTTCTCAGAGGATTAAGCCATTTGCCAAAATCAGTCTTATTTTAGCAAATATGTACTAGCATTTTGGCAAATGACGGAAGAAAATATAGGGAGGGTGAATGGGAATAGTACTTGCTGAGATAAGATTTATTTTGGCAAATAACATATCCTCTGAGAAAATATGGGGCGGGTGGGCGGGGCTACGACTTGTTAAGATAAGACTTATTTTGGCAAATGACATATCCTCTGAGAAATAATGGGCGGATGGACGGGGCTAGTACTTGCCGAATAAATCCTATCTAAAATGTGCAAAATACGATCAATTTTACTTGTAATTTATCAATGCATTAATATTTTGTAGATCTGCCTATACAGGATGATTCAAAAAATTAAAAAATCAATTTATTTTATTGAATAAGTCAAGAATTACAAAAATGAATACTTTGAAAATTTGCAGATGTTTTAAAGTTATTGTAAGCACGTAACCAAATATATCTGTTTATTTCCCCCAAGAAATTGATGACCGTCACTTCAAAATTTTGCCGAATAAATTTTACCCAAAATGTGCAAAATATGATGAGTTTTTACTTGTGATTTAACATTGCATTCATATTCATATATAATGTCATTTGCCACAATCAGTCTTATCTTAGCAAATACTAGCATTTTGGCAAATGACATACCTTTTAAGAAAATAGAGGGCGAGTGGGCGGGGCTAGGGCTTGCTAAGATAAGAGTTATTTTGGCAAATAACATATCCTCTGAGAAAATAGGAGGCGGGTGGGCGGGGCTAGGACTTGCCAAGTTAAGCGTTATTTTGGCAAATAACATACCTTCTGAGAAAGTAGGGGGCGGGCGGGCGGGACTAGTACTGGCTAGGTAAGACCGATTGTGGCAAATGACATAGTCCTCTGAGAAAATAGGGGGTGGGTGGGCGGGGCTAGTACTTGCTAAGATAAGACTGATTTTGCCTCTATTAATCTTGTAAAAACTTGTTAAATTGCAAATTTCCTTAGTAACGCGTTAAATTCCTAAATCTGATTGGGTATTTATTTTTTGTTTCATTCTACTTCAGGAGCGAGGGATGTTCTGTTGAAACGACTTTGGACCAATTTTTTTAAAAAGACTAACACCGATTTAAAGATTACAGAACATTGAAAAAAATTTTATTTACGCATTCAGTCCAAAAATTGGTGACGTCACCTCAAATTTTTGTTCAGGAAATCTTACTTGACGTGTGTAGAAAAACATAATCTTTGAGTTGCGGTTTACTTGTCTACTTTTACTTTTAATCTAACTCATATGGGTTATCGCACAAAAAATTTAATTTAATTTTTTAATTATAAAGTACGTAACGAATTCCTTTAAGACCTTGTTGACTCACTAGGTCGCATGAATATACTTTCATACATATTTTTATTTTAGTTAAAAAAATACATTTTTTTATTGAACTTCCCTCGCTGAAAAAAAACAATTATAATTAAACAAAGGTACTGTGTTTTCAGAGTTTCAGGAAAATGGGACAAGACCTTTGATCAATCAACAAAATTAATTAGTTAATTAATTTTTAAGACACCTTGTTCATAATTGTAAGAACCAGGACCCTATGAAAAAAACATGTATGCCATTTTACCCATTTCAAGTGAGATTTAATTAAGTAAATTTTGTTAAGACGTTCTAAAGTTTTTCTAAGAGAAAAACAGCTATTTACCATGTTCACGATAACCCAGTAGTTTCGGAAATTTTATGTCTAATTTTATCGATAACAGACAGAGACGGGAGATCCACTTTTTCATATTTTAGAAGAGTACAGTTAAAGTATGGAACGCAGATATTTCGACAACAATTTACTGCGATTACTTGAAATTTTATCCAATTTTATTTTGTCTTATTTATTCAAATTCTTGAAGAGTGGAGTGTAATACGCCTAAAATTATTTTTATTTTTGTTGAATAAAATATGTTTTATCAACTAGCAGTTCAATTTCAGTTGCTACTGGAGTGATTATAAGAAATGTGTACCGGTGTGGTACATTCAACAAAAAATTGGGTGTTAAGCCTGTGCATTTTGTGTATTAATAAAGAAAACGGACAAATGTAATTTTAAAATGTTGAAATGAAGCTAATTAACATCCAAGCAAAAATAATAGGTGCCCAAAGAACTCAGCGTGTCAATAATGAAGGCGTTGCAAAAATAAGTTTACTGGATAATTAAAATTTTAGAACGTAGTAACGTTTTGGGTTACTCTTATTTTACACCCATCAAACTGGTCTGGTTTTCCTTTTTTTCTTTTTTAAGAAATCTATGTCAAAATATGCTCTAACATGCGTTGGACATTGGTCCACTTTAAAGATTGAAGGAAATATTGCTTAATCTCTTTAAAACAATTGTTTACTTGCACAGAATATTTCCAGTAAATAAATACTAATTTAATTATCGATTATCTCAGACGCGGACCACGGAATTTCTCCAGAACTTTGAAAATAGACGAATCAAACAAAAAAAAAAAAAAGTTAAATTAATTACAACCCACATTATACAAATTATTTCGGTACACATGTTACGTTAATGATAACAATCCGATAATCACATTTCCTTAACCTAAATACTGATAATGAACTTCAAAACAAAATTTTAATTTTCAATATTCATACATCGCTCCATTATTCATACTATACTTACTCGATAGCGCAATAACCTTGACATATCGAAATCCCTCCGATTATCTGCAGAGGACGTTCCCTATCCAGTTCACCCATGTACTTTGTAACCAAATTTCCACCCAAACTGAAACCTACGCATACGATCTTAGTGTTCGGATGCCTATTAATAAGACTTCCTATCATATCGTGGAAATCGTTCGTATTACCTGTAACAGAAAGAAAATAATTTCAGTGGAGTAAAAAACAGTAAAGGAAAAATAACGAAATCCGATTAGTAAGTAGGGTATTCTGCCGACGGTCAATGGCATGTTCAGATGGAGAAAAAAAAATTGAAAAGGCTGGCCATTTTTTGCTTTCGCTCAAGTAGAGGACGAAAAAACATAAATATGCAGAACACGAAATACTTTTTTTCTCATATCCGCTGTATCTTAGTTTAGAACGCCTGAATATGTAGGCTTGAAATAATTTATGTCAGTTTCGGAGAGAAAGTAAATAAAAGTGTATTCAATAATTTTGTGTCAAAGTCGATGGAGTGTCTATAACCAAACGTTCAGACAAAGTCATGTCACTAATTTAATATGCATAACGTGTATATATTATAAAAATTTCACGACAAAATTGAAAAGTGTAAAACTCAAACAGAAAAGTGGTAAAAGTGCGTACGTAATTAATATGATTAGTAGTAGTATCAGTCAGTTCTTGTAGGATATGTCCCTAGGACCTATAAAATGCTGTTCTCTATAGTCCTATAATAGTATCACATCAAATGCTGTAAAGTAGTGTAAAGTATGTTAACCGGAATTTTATAACAACATATTGTGCAAAGAAATGCGTATTTTGAAATAAAAATCCTGTAACAAATCTAGAAAGAAGTTTCCACTGCGTATTCTGTTATTAGCGTACAATAACATATGCCCTATTAACAAACGGACTAATGGACGGGTAATCTTGATAACCTCTGTTATTTAGTCTGCCACAGACGGCAACGTTCGCGATAGATATTATTTTTGCCTGCATATTTACATTTTTGCAAGTTTTATCTATAATATACCTATAATGTAATAAATATTATATCTAAAATTGCTCAGAAGGTCACTACTTGTATTTTACTTTAAAAGCGGGTTGCTATGTTCGAAATAAAATTCTACCACCACTGATTAGTAGTGCTAACCGTAAAAAATATATCAATAATAAAGTTTACTTTTGCCTACTACTTTTTGTATTCGTAGCAACGCGCACCGCAACTTGAAGAATGATATCAACATTCGTCTTAAAATACTTTGTCAAAAAGCCACACTGTGTCATGTATAGTTTTCGCGAAAACATTGTTATAAAGTGTTTACTTTGGCTTAGTCATAGCGGATGTGCCATTATTTGTGTTAAATTATTCTGTGTGGATTTGCTCCTATACATAGGGATGAATAATAATGCGTTTAACAGTCCCTGCCATTAATATTTCAGTGATTGATGGATTTCAGAAAGTGACCCTTTTAACGAGGACTAACGAAAATGGGTCACTGTAATGAGGAAACAACAATCTTTCCAAAACCAAAGTTGCTTTTATTTCCGGCGAAACTGGAACTGTCACGATTAATTTTGTATCTGGTTAAATTGACTTGATTTTGTACATTTCTCACGGTATAATTGGTTTTATTTACAGATCGGAGTCTTGAAACACTTGTGATAAATGAGTTGAAACAGAGTACAATAAATATTTAAGTACCTACACACCTACAGGCTGTTTCATTTAATACTTACCCCTTTAATTGTTTTTTTTTAATCTACCGATAATTATTACTTGTAGGTTTTAAATACAAAAACCTGTATAACAGTTTTAGGTATTAGGAAAATACGTGAAAATTGGTGGAAACCTTAAAAAAAATCGCCCATATTCCTTGCGGCTGTTTTGTATATGTTTTAGTAACTTTAATGTTTAATTTTTGCCGTATTTAAAGGGGTTGTAGAAGGAAAGTGGAGTGAGGTATTTTCAGTTTCTTGTTGTCGAAATAAGTCTACACATACTAAGAAAAAAAGGCCAAATGTAGCCCCGCCCACCCACCCTATCTCACTTGTGATGATTTTTTTTTATTCGTCGTGAGCCAAGAACACGGAATTTAACTTCAAAATCCTTATTTCTCTATGAGAAATTAAAAACATGTTTTTGAGTACCATTTTGTTCAAAGAATACTATTTATATTAAGAAAAAAATTAAGCTAAAGATTAGGCCCCACCCATACCCGCCCCGATCTCAATTCTCAATTGTAACGAATTTTTCATTCGTTGTAAACTCGAGGGGCGGGCCTTAATTGCAAGATCCATATTTGTCTACAAGAATTTACCATTTTAAACATGTTTTAAGTTTCTTGTTCTGAAAAGACGACGACGTGTATTAAAAAAAAAAGCAAACTGTAAGCCCCGCCCACCCACCCTATCTCAACTGTCATGATTTTTTTTTTATTCGTCGTGAGCCAAGAACACGGAATTTAACTGCAAAATCCTTATTTCTCTATGAGAAATTAAAAACATGTTTTTGAGTACCATTTTCTTCAAAGAATACTATTTATATTAAGAAAAAAATTAAGCTAAAGATTAGGCCCCACCCATACCCGCCCCGATCTCAATTCTCAATTGTAACGAATTTTTCATTCGTTGTAAACTCGAGGGGCGGGCCTTAATTGCAAGATCCATATTTGTCTACAAGAATTTACCATTTTAAACATGTTTTAAGTTTCTTGTTCTGAAAAGACGACGACGTGTACTAAAAAAAAAAGCAAACTGTAAGCCCCGCCCACCCACCCTATCTCAACTGTGATGATTTTTTTTTAATCATCGAGAGCCAAAGGAGCTGAATTTTATTGCAAAATCCTTATTTCTCTACGAGAAAATAAAAACATGTTTTTGAGTATCGTGTTATTCAAAGAATACCATGTATATCAAGAAAAAGTTAATTAAAGCCAAAGATTAAGCCCCACCCATACCTGTCCTGATCTAAATAGAAATGAAGTTTTCATTCGTTGGCAGGCCTAGAGGCGGAGCCTAATTGCAAAATCCATACTTATTTCCTTACAAAAATTTACCATTTTAAACGTGTTTTAAGTTTCTATGAATAAAAAAATCATCACAATTGAGAGCGGGTGTGTGGGTGGGGTTTATATTTTGCCTTTTTTTCTTAATATACATAGTATTCTTTGAACAACACGATACTCAAAAACATGTTTTTAATTTCTTGTAAAGAAATAAGTATTTTGCATTAAGTTCCGCCCCCTTTGTTCACGGTGAATAAAAAAAATCATCACAATTGAGATAGGGTGGGTGGGCGGGCTTACATTTTGTCGTTTTGGTTTAACATGTGTAGACTTCTTTTCACAACATGAAACTTAAAAATATGTTTAAAATGGAAAATTTGTATAAGGGAATATCGATTTTGCAATTAGACTCCGCCCTATAATTGTAAAAATGTAGCATTTTAACCATATTTAAAGTTTCTTGTTGTGAAAAGATGGCTATGAATATATAAAAAAAAAAGGCAAAATATATTATTATTATTAAATATAGGCAGGCGGGCGCAACATGACCGTTACCAAATTTTCAAGAAAACGGTCGTTCTCGATTTGACGAATAAAAAAAAAATTGACCCATGAGCCCATGGAACCAGCGACTTTCTCGTTAGTAATTCAACTTATTAACCACATACCACTGTCTTATGCTGGTATAAAGATACAATTTGTATTTTTTTTTTGCGAAAATCTGGATACCTATGTAAAGATTCATAAACCACAAGTATAGGAGTAAAAAAAAATGAAGGAACGTCAGCAAATTGTTGTTGGATGTCAATTCTTATTAGACAGGTAATCACCGAAACTAATGGACGGATTACTGTCAAATTTTATGTGTCAGGAATATCGCGTAGATGGTAAAACACTGATCATCCCCACCACCAATGGGATGACATAATTTTCAAAGTTACAATAGTAAGTGTTATTTAAATTTTACGAAATAACATATTTCTGCACTTGTGGTTTATGAATCCGTGTTGAGTTTTTACCCTAGACTTACATATTTCTGGAAAAAAATTACATAACTGTGAAACTACAAAACCGAATGCTCTAAAATTTTGCATTTTAAGGTTATCGCAAACACACAAAGTACAGGTATAGTAGCCTGCATAGATATTGTAGCCGTCCATAGAGTCGAAATTTGCGAATAAAAATAAAATAAAACCGGTTCAAACGGAGCCGACGGTGGCTTGCAGAGTCTGACGTCACTCTGGCACACGTTGCACAGAGACGTATTTAATATTAAATGTAATTTTTTCCGTTATGATATAATCTGTTTCATTTCTGAGCTGAATCTCATCAATAAAATCGAAGCTCTGTTCACTGTACACAAGTTGTGGTATGGTATATTCATCGTTGCGGAGGCAGGTGGAGCGAAAAACCTAGTCATCTTAGCAGCAAACACGCCTATAAACTAGTCCACGTGGACTGTTTGTTTCCTGTCATATTTTAGTTTGCTTGAACCAATTGTGTTGCACCAAACGGTTATTACACTTGTTGAAATAAATTTTCAAACTTCCATCTTTCTCTAGATCATCGGTTTCGTAGCTGTGTGACAAATCGTTTCTCGTAGATAGAAAATAGTAAGATTACAGTGACCCTAAGATTTTGTGCAAACAGCCTTAAATACACCCCTGTGTGATATGACGCGTGCCGTAGTGACAGAACTTGCAAGCCGTCGTCGGCTCCGTTTGAGCCGGTTTTATTTTACTTTTATTCGCAAATCTCGACTCTATGGACGGCTACAATATCTATGCAGGCTACTATAAAAAATACGGCCTTAAAAATTAAACTAACGATATGTGTGGACTGTTCAAGTACAAGTAAAGGAGGATGCTATGCGAATGTTTCAAGTGAGTTTTCCTATAATAAAATTTTGTGATGACTTCATCAACATTTTAGCAAGGACATGTATATTAACTTGAATAAGTAATAAATAATAATAACAGTACTGTGTACTCAAATTTTCGGGAAAAGGGATGAGCCGTTCTTGATGATTTGTTCAATAAAATAGATGACCTTAATTACTAATTTTTTCGAGTCATCCTGTATAAGTAATTCTAAAAGATATGCCTAGCTAAAGCCGAACTTCTATGAAGAGATTTTATGAAAAGCAATAGAAAATATTCAATCAATGCAAATTTATTACA